TCCTCTTGGGAGGCCGGCCTCCGTAACCGAAGGAGCGGAGGAGTATGGGCGAATTCCCCTTCGACAGGATGGATTTTTTCAGGTATTTGTTCTATCCGTAAGCAATCCAATGCTCAAAGGTCTTGTATACATTCTTTTACAACATCCAGTGTTCTTGATTTGTCTGCTCGATGGACGTATTTCCTTGTAGCCAATTGGTGCCTAACCGGTTTGCCCTGCTTCAGCCCTAAGTTGTGAAGAATCAAACAGGATCTATTTCACTCCTCAGCCTCCACCTGTTCTCAAGTTCTGCTTCTTCCCCATGCCCTTCTCAGTCAGTTCGTGTATGATCGTGTATGCACGTTCGTATCGACGTGCGTATGAGCGTGGTCGCTGAGATTGAACATGCTGCGGGACGATGAACACCGCGGCGGCATCGTGCTCTTACACAATGGGCAGCCCCTTCCAGGAGTCGTTCCGAGCGCCATGCTTGAGCCGCGAGCGTCAAGTGTAGAGCGAGCGACATGCTTGAGCGAGCCCACGCGAGCGGGGCAGTAGGGTTTTTCGGTTTTAGGGTCCCTGGCCGAAAGCGGAGGCGATGTGAGGGGGACGGAAGGAACGCGAAGAAGCCAAGATGCGACGGGTACAGCTCACACAAATCTCAGTTGTGGCTTTTGGCCGAACTTCATGGGGGGTAGATTGGTTTCAGAATCTACGTAACATTGAGGGTTTGTAGACCTGCTCAAAGGCAAAGAATGTCTACACTTGTTGTGCGATACAATTGGTTTTGTTGTTACTCCAGCGGCGGATTTTTTCAGCCTCCACTTGAGAAACCTTGATGATCCTTGATATGTTTTTTTCTTTATTTTCTTTAAATCACCTGAAGGGATTGACGTTTGGACTTGGCTCCAATGTTTTTTGTTGAGGCTGTGAGGTTGGGAGCCGCAGTGAGTGTGGACGATTCTCTGGTTTTTTTGCATTCGATTCTTTTGGGGACGGCTTCTTCACACTCACTTGGATGGTTGAGCAGAGGAACAGGGTATTGGTCAGGGGAACAGAGAAGATCAACCATGGATTGTGATCTTCCAAGAACCGAGACGCAGGAACATAATTAATTACAGATTTTGGTTCAATTTTGTGAAGGAACCTCGACATTCCCAACGAGTCCCAACTAAAATCTGAACTTGCCAAGTGGAACGTGGAAGTTTTGCAGCTCTTTTTGACTAAGTTAAGTGTTTGAGGAGTTTCCATGTCAACATATATTTCAGAAAAGACTTCGAAAAAAGAGAAACAACCACAAACCAAACATTCTCATGGCAGAAATCAGTTGTCCTTGCACTCCAGGACGGCAGACTTTGCAAGACTCTGGAGTCAATGATGGCGATGAGGTCGGCGGATATCAAGTGTGGGGCAGTCGTCGGTGTTTCTTCGTTTTGCGACCTCCCTTTGGCGGAGCTGAGGTCGGGTGATTTGTCCTTCTCCCGAACTGAGTGACTCCCGCATGATTTGGTTTTTTCACGCCGCAAAGCATGACCCACACGAGTAGTGGAGGAGGATAATTATATTCAAGGGGTCGACCCCAAGCAGTATGGAAGTAGTATGGAAGTATTCAAGGGGTCTATCGTCAGTATGGAAGTAGTGTCGTTTTGGGGGGTTGTTGTTTGCCCTCTTCAGGGCTGCATGACTGGAGGAATGGCCGGTTCATGAAAGTCGGGAGGGGCCACGGTTCTTTTGCCACACAAGTGGCGAGTCACATTCTTGACCAGCTGACACCCTTGTTTGACCTGTAATTCAAGACATCGCAAAGCTGCCTAGGGTCAGACTTTTGTTTTGAGGTCAGATATCACAGATCTAATATACCTGGACCTTCAAACTTTGCAAAGTTGTTGCCTTTTGGCTGGCTTTTGGATGAAAAGGCGTCAATTTTGCACAGTTTGAAGATCCAGGTATACATCAAACGCTCCAGCTTCCCTCTCTCTCTCTCTCTCCCACTCATTTGACTCATCACCTCACATACCCTACAAGTCCAGTCTGACCCAGCAAAACCCAGTATAAAACCTGGTCAAACTTACTTCCTTACAGTAAGTAGTGTTTTTTAATGTTTTTGTATGACCCACTTCAGTAACATGAGCTCATTGACAACATGCCCCACGCATTCCGCCTCGAGGTGATGTACTTTTGGGGTGAGGGCGGGGAAGCCGCTGGCGCAGCAGATATCCCATGAGGCGCAGCCAGGTCTGGCTATGAGTCAAAACCTCCCGCACCAAATGGTTTGGTAGGTTGACACCACTGGAATATCTTCATTTTCAGGGGTCAACCAGGGTGCCCGGGTTTTGACCCACGGTCACATCGCTGACTGCCATCGGTGCTGGATTGTTTCCAAGTGCCAGGGTTGCACAGCTGTTGAGCCGTTTTGCCAAGGGCAGAAGAGATGATGCGACTTGAATCGTTTTTGCCAAGGATCTTGGATGATCTTGGCCAACGATCAACTAAGAGGTCCAGATCGTTTCAGCACTTCTGCGACAGGTTTGAAGTCACACATTATGGGCCTGTTAGAAAGTCCCAATCCTTTTCAACACCTTGGTGCAACACCTTGGTGTAACCCTGGCACTTCCTGCGCCCTGCCACATCCGCTGGCCACTGGAATACTCAGACTGCCACACTCGTGCGGTGCGAAGTCGTCGCCTGCCACACTCGTGGTGCGCTGCGAGTTCGTCGTCTCACCGAACTCTCTCTCTCTCCGCGGGGGCGTCACGCGGCGGACGTCCTCGCAGCATCGGTCGGTCGGACCATCGGTCGGTCTTCGTTTGATTTCAGTCCGCCATAGTCTGTCTATTGTCGTGTTTTTTTGGTATATGTGTTATGTGTTTAATTGAACACATGATGGTAGACATTCTGCCGTGGATTTAGTCGTGTACCTTGACAATTTATGCAGGGCAGGGCGCCCATTGAACGAATTCAATCGATTCAGATTAGAATAGCCAAGTGTAGAAAGTGGAGCTGTTGTAAGTCTGGAATGAAAGTTCCATCCATGTCGGACGTTAAATGAATTTGCACAAACACACAGAGGAAAGTACCATGTTCATGAATTCTTCCAGATTCATCCAGATTCTACATGTGCCAACATTAATATAGCTTCTCAAAGTGCTGATTTGCAACCCAGCTGTCACAGATGTAGTCCAGCTGTTCACCTGTTGGAATTCACACGTTTGACACGAGCAAGATGCTGATTCTGGAACCAGGCGACCAAGTGACCGACTGGGCCCGGCATGCCACCCAACGCCAACGCATTCGACCGATTTCGGGCCTGGTTTGGGCTGTCCAGAGTCGCTTTCATCCGATCCATAGTTGTGATTTTTGTTTTTCATGTCCAGTTTGCACTTGCCTAGGTTATTGAATGCGCGATGCCTAGGTCATTTTAGGTCACCACCATTTGGAGGATTCGCTTGGAAGAGACCAGGAACTTGGCCGACGGACCGGATTCGGATTCGGTCGGCTCCTTGCGAATCCGAACGGAGACTCGTCCATTGCTCCTGAAGATGTCTGTTTCCATTGCATGAAAGTCTCCCTATAGGCCCTAACCGTCCCTAACCTATACTCACTATAACCTCGCCATCTCAAGCAACCCATGACGCGGTTTCGCAAAGCCAACTTAGCTGCGACATCCTTCACGGAAACCGCCGCGGAAGCCTCCGCAGAGCCGGACCGTGGACTGCACCGGGTTGGAACCGCTGGGAGCCTGACTGAGAGAGGAGTCTCCATGTGGAGCCTGAGCGATTTCCACACAAGAATGGAGACAAGCTATAGCAGATGAAAACCGGAAACCAGCTTCTCCGAAACGGATGGATTGATGGATGTCGGAACTTTGAATATCAATGTAGTACCTCCCAGTTCTTTTGGGCTGCCTTCATGTTCTCGTAGCTATATTGAGAATAGTACTTTAATATACTGTAACATAACTTGTATTGCTGGCCTCGGCTTTAGCAACAGGTTTATCGCTTCCTTACTGTTATCCTGGGATCATTCGCAAAAGCTGAGTTCTGGGGGCTCCTCCTGCTGGGGTGCCAGCACCAACTCCATCAGCTAGAGCAAGAAAAGTTAGGTGACTGCAAGGTAGCTGCACCCTGCAGTTACCTTCATGAGTCGTGCCAGTCAAGCTTGAGGGTCAAAATGACTGTCGTGCAGGGGTCACGAAGGGCTGCACAGTCTTGAACTGGAAGCAGTCCAACTGCGCCATGACCTTCCTGCCAAGTGGAGAGTTATTCACCGGTGAGCCACCAGTGCGTGCGTCTAAACATCAATGTGAGCCTCTCGCCGCGTCGTGACTCGAAGCCGGACCTGTGACACAGGTCAGCTGGGGAAAACTGGTGTTTTCTATCACTTTTATCAACGTTCATCATGGTCGAGTGCGTCTCCGCTATGCTGAGGCCATTCGTTCGGATCGTCCGAAGCGTGCGTGATATCAACGTTCATCAACGTTCGTCTTATAGATTCTATCATCCCCAGACGCGACCCATGGGACTGCCATAGGATTGCCGATCAGGCCAGGGGTAGTTGGTTTTGGGGGTCAATGGGGCGGCATATATGGTAGTCCCATGGAGTGTATGGGATCTACTTATTAGTAGGTAAATGGCAAACCCTGTAATTACCCCGTGAAGAAGAAACACATGAATTGCATAGTCGTTACCTCCTGGAGATGTTCAGCGGCGTTGGGCTTTTGAACCATTGGCAAATTACGACAGAGTCAATACCATACCCTGGGTTTTTCGATTTTGCCTACTATGGATCTGTTTCTCTTTCCCAGCTTTTTCCCGGCTTCCTGGACCGCATGTTTGAAACACATGCACATGTAAAAAAAGCCTTCCCTCCAAAAACCTTCTATAGAAGGTACAACTTTTTTGCCCCAAACGTCTTCATGATGTTGCACATCCTCCGAAGCATCGACCTTGATCACTCTTGGGGGGGCCCTACTGGGCGGTCGCAACCGCGCCGCTCAGGCCGCGCCGGCGCCCGCGTGTGCCATGCCCCCGCCAGACACCTCAGCAGACCGCAGACCGCAGACCTCGGGACTCGAGGTCGAGGATGCTGCCCTATGTTGAGATGAAAGCCTTGACCTGGGGGGTGGTTTTATACAGATCTGTTCAGATGTTTTTAAGTATTCTCAAGTATCAGTATTACTAACTAACAACCAGGATATATGTTTGATCATATTTGATCAAGTAGCTGACGAATCATCTCTCTGATTTTGATGGTGCCCATTGGAAAGGCCACCCAGAAAGGAAAGGGTTTGCTTTTGAGACTGTGTTTTGAGTTCTTTCGGATAGACCAAGTTTGACCAGGACAGCGAGACAGACGGTCTTGAGGATGAACCTCGTGGTGAAACCACCGCGTGAACATCACAGGTGTGAAATTCTGCTATGTACTTGGACCTCATGAGCTAGAAAGAAAATTCCAGTAATTATATATAAATACTCTTTTTAGGGCGTGAAGGAAATGCTCTACCGAGATTGCCATAAGCAAAATCGAACAAACTGGTTGCAGAGAACTGTACCACGCCCTGGCGCCGCCTTTTCAGGTCAGATGACTGGCCCAAGAACCAGATGTCCAAGCGTCAACAGAAGAAGCAGGCAGTCTATGCGGTCGCTCGAAGTCAGGAGTTGCTGGAAACCAGTTTTGGGGTGTACTGGATACTTTCTTTTCATGCCATGAATGCCAGTTTCTTTGAAAGCAACTGCTTTGACAAGCAGTTTTCGCTATTGCTACTTTTGCACCGACCACTTTTACTCTGTCCCGTGCGGTTCCGTCCATGGCCCGGGTTGAACCTATTGGGGGTTGGCGCCGGCCGGGCTAGGTCAGGCAGAGCCAGATCCAACGAGGCACATCCCAACAGGTAGAGGCACATCCCAACAGCCAGAGGCACATCCCATTGATGGTTTATTTGGATGATATGATGTGTTTTTGTTTTAAACGTGGGAGTTGGACGGTGATCGCCCTACGGCATCGTGAAGGTATGGTCTTCCACCCCGGGTGCAACATCCGTTTCTTTATCTCTGATGGTTAGAGAATCTCATTCTCCTGAGTTCCAGATACCTTGAATGACCGAAAGGTAAACAACTTGACACCTGGCGCCGCTTCTGGATGCGTTTGTAAGGTATCTTTAGAATCTCCAAAGTGAGGAAGTGACCGTGGAGCATCGGTGCTAAATGGTGCTACCAGGACAACCGAAGACTCGGTCGGGCGTCCAGTATTCGGTTGCCCCATTTTGTGAGAACGTCATTCTTGCATTGGCTTGCGTTCTTGACCCGGGACTACAGTCAGAATATATCGTTGCTCGGAAATGCTGACGCCTTGTGATGTTCTGCCTATCCTACACAATCATCAAATACAGTTTTGATCATGTTTGATCTCTGCCAGCAGTTTTGCGTTCAACGTCACAGAAACTCTCCACCTCCATGAACTCCCATCATTGGAACACACACTCCCACCATGTACCCATATCTACCCTATCTACCCTCCTGTCTCAACATTGGGCCTCGGCCGCGCAGGTGCTGCGGGAAGCACGACAAGAGCGGAAGGGCGCCAAGAAGGCCCTGAAGCAGGTGCCGCCCGGCCCCATGCGGCGCGTTGTTTTTTTCTTGGGTCCCGGAAGAACCCATCACCGACTTGGCTTCGGACCCACCGGAGATGTTGAAACGAGCAGTGAGTATCGCAGTGAGTATCGTTGGGTGAAGACACTTCGACTCCGGCCGGCCACGACGGCCTCGCCCGGTGCCGCGCTCGCCCGGTGCCGCGCTCGCCCGGTGCAGCGCTCGCCCGGTGCAGGTTCAATCCTTGAGCTCGGTGCTTCAGAGCTTAGATGAGCCACTGGGCCGAGAGCGGAGGGAGTGGGTCTGAGCGGACGAGAGAAGCGAGTGGGACTGGAGAGTTGAGGTTGGTTGAGAGTGAGGGACTGACTGGTCTGCGATCTGGGTGGTTATTCCAAAAAAAGGATAGAACAAACAGATGACAAAAAAGGTCTATTTTTGGGGGGGAGGGAGTGGACATCATACAAGAGATGTGGATCTTCCAGTGGGATACATACAAATATTTCACAATATGTTTTACGATGTTTTACGTATATACTATTATGTGTTTTGCTTGTGGACCTCTGGTAAAAAGTCATGGTTTCTCAAGTACATGTTTTCGGACGTTTTGACCCATTCGAAGGCAGACCGAAGACCGAAGATACGAACAAGCCATCTCAAGCCATATATCCGGATCGAACGCAACTGTTTCAACCTGTTTGCCCAACTTGGCAGATTTTTTAGAAGGCAGACGTGTTGAGTTTCAAGATCCAGCCCTATGGATCCACATAGCCTCTGGCTCGAAGATGGAGGTGTTCGACACTGTGGAGACTTGTCGGTCGCCAGGAGGGTTCGGTGGTACTGAACCTGAGAAGGTAGGACTGGATAGGGCGGCTGTAGGGCAGGTAAACCCAGGCTCAACCACTAGGTCGGTCCACTAGGTCAATGTTATTTACTGACCTTCGAAGGCTGCTGGCGGCTCATTTGGGATCCTCGATGCCCCGTGCTACGGCGCTGGAGAAGCTCGTTCTAGCGGGAGGGGTGCACTGAACCCACCGCTGTTTAGCTGGGTTCAGTCGGTTATCAGGAAAATTGAGTGGGTGGCGGTTTCAGATATTTTTTAGAATATATTTTTTAAAATAGACTTGGGATGATTGAACCCACTGACGAAGATGTTTTAGTTTGTGAGTTGAAACCACCAACCAGAAACATCAGCCCGAAAGAAACTGGTTCACCACAATGATGTAGTGATATACAGGTGGGCTGACTTTTTGCAGTGACGATTGTTGGCATATGTTGGCATTGTTGGACGCAATTTTAGGAATCATGTGGTGATTCTTCAGAGAGTCTTTTTCCAATAAGTATGACTGGGAAAACGGGAGTTGAGTCGGACTGGGAAAACGGGTTCCGATTTGTTCCTGCAATCGTTCGATTCAGTATCATTGGGCGAACATGTCTCGCTGAACGGCCTTGGCTGGGCCGGTAGGGGAGCATAGGAGACCCTGCAGACAAACATAGATTGCAGACAAACATAGACCCTGAAGATTGACCCGTGGAAGACCATGTTCTTCTACCACCCACTGGGCTCAGGGGGGTCCGTGGTGGTCCTTTGCAGGGGTGTATTTTGTCTGTGTGGAAACACCGGGCCAGCAAAGTCATAAGTCACAGCCAAATCATGAAGTCTGTTGGACAAAGTCCAACAACTTGTAATCTTTCCCAATCATTTCACCATCCTTCCGTCCTGTTGGCAGCGGATGGCCCTCACAAACTTTGGGTTCCACAGCACTTCAAAAGCGATGAGGCATGGGTACATATGGGTACAATTGCCTGTTTTCTATCGGATGTTCTTAGGTCAGAGGCATGTCACATTTTCACCCACTAATCTCGCATTACTTTATACATAACATAGCAAATAGACTCCTGAGATGATACACCAGAATTGCCTGTCGTCAGCCTATGGTTTGTATTTGCCAGGAGACTTGTACAAGCTTTCGAGGTCTTTTGTGAGACAGGAGACGGACCCCCAACTCACTTGCCTCGCCTCGTTCGCCGGACTTCCCGAGGAAGGTCTTTGGAGCTACGCAGGCGTATGAGACGCTGGAAATGGCGCATGGACCAGCAGTTGAGGAGTGCTGCGGTTCTAGGTGCTGTTTTGCGGGCGTCCTATAATATAGACCTTACGTGACAAACTTGGAACAGAAATGGTTTGATGGATGGCACCCCTGTTTGTGAAACATGGTCATTTTGTTGGGACCATGCCAAAAATTTCCATGCGATGTGCTCGTCAGAAGTGTAAATGAGGAACTGGAGGAAGTTTGCTGCGAAGATGAGACTCGAAACTGCAAATCCTTTGATCATCCCACGTTCTTTGACACACACACACACATATACATTATATATACATACACGTTCCGTGTTTTGGTCTGCGTTTTTGGCGACCGGTGGCGGACAGCGCACCTGCTTTCAGGAAGGCTTGGCCTTGTTGGGAGCGTCGGTGGTGCGACCAGAGAAGTACAACGCAAAGTTCCTGCCACAGGAATATTCGCTCCTTCACAAGCCTCTTGTCACTGAAACCAAACGCTGTTGGCGGGATGGAAGAAGCCAAGTGCATGCATATGGAGGAGAACAGAAATCCAGCAAAAGCCGACTAGGTCACTGATATGCCCGATGGATCCACATACCTTCTGAGACAGACGGGACGATTAGCAGGGAAGAGGTAGGAATTCTGCCTTTTTCTTTATCAACTTCAATTTTGCATGACAGTCAGTATTCCCCAAACAGTGTGGACACACTAGGGGGTCTTACGGTAGTCGTAAGTTAAGCACCTGTGTCTAATCGAGGTGTTGCACCGGGGCGTCCGGCTTATTCGCTGCTATTCATAGTACATTCATGCCTCTCGAAGTCCTCGAAGTGCATTTCGACTCGCAAAATCTGGTGGGCCGCGGTGGGTGCTTATCGCATCATTAATTCAAGGTTGTTACTTCAAAAGTTCTTTGCGAAGAACACCCCAAAACACAAAGCTTATGTATGTCCGACTATATTTCCTGAAGCGTTTTTGTGCTAAAGAAACTATCGTCGACTATCCTCCCAGTGGTTCCTTGTGGCCAACTTGCTCCCAACTACCTCGGAAACCTACCTCTTCCCCGCTCCTACCTCTTCCCACTCGTTGGCTTGCCTAACTCCGACGTACGGTGAGGACGGAGACTATAGACACATAGGCTTGGAGGGTCCAAACATTCTGAGAAGGTGGCAGTGGATCCATAGGGCCTTTTTCCGGATGGGGCGACTTGGAGTTGTGGGAGGGTCACGCAGCCCATAGATGTCCTTTTGACATGAAAATAGAGGGGAAGTGTGCAACCAATATCAACCGATGGGTGTTTGGTACCCCATCCAACCACTCTGTTGTTCTCAAACGGATCCAACAGGACATCATTGACACACTTATACACCTATAACCACTTGACGCCGGTTGTGATAGGAGAAGGACCTTATTGTTGTGTGGTCGGTGGTCCAATCCCCAGGTCCAAAGCTAGGCGGACAGGGCCACTACCCCACCTCGCAGTTAAGGGGATAACCAGAAAGCAGAACAACACAGGTTTCGCCGCAGGTTGGTTTGGGGAGTTGACTCCCGCTTGCACTTGTTCCAGGATTTCAAAATATTTCAAGTGTTGAACAATGCTCTGACATCCAACCTCCCACCCTCTTCCAAGCTCTTGGTAGAGTTCTGAAACAATCTGGTGATTGGTTCTGGTCTGTTTGTTGCTGTTAGTCGACCGTCATCTTCAACACGCCGGAGACCCCTCGTTTCATACATGAGTGCTGCTGGTCTTCCGATTGTGATAACTTTACGATTCACTCGTGGAAGTGGTCGCTTGACAAAGAGCCCGGAAGTGGTCGCTCAACACGAAGAACCCCAGTGATCGGAAGTGATGCCAGAACTGTCCGCTGCCCTGTCTGGTAGGCTCCATTGCAGCGAATCGAGTGCACACCAACACTTTATGCCGCCCTATAGGGTGGTGCATCGAAATATCATCGTGACCTTTTTGGAGTCCCTATTTGACCTTTTGCAGGTCTGACCTCCAAACCAGGGGATCAGAAGGTCACTGGTCTGATCCTGGATTTTGTTCCCGCTTTCCTGGAGAGCAAAAATCAAATTTGAGCGATCTCGGTGGAACTCCACGACAATCGCTGGAGGATTTGGACGTTGCTGGGGCCCGACAGCTCCTCTGCTGGGGTGCTGGACATCGGCGCGGGGAACGCCAACTGCGCGGTGCTGGCAGCAGCGCTTTTGGGTTTGACGGTGTGCCTTTGGTGTTGCTGTTGGTGCGATGAGAAAGGGTTTTCCCTAGGCAAAGACTATTTAAAACATGGTTGACCTTGTTTTGGTAGTTTAAAATCCTCAGAATAACGATGGTCGTCCGGTAAAAAGGTTTACACATAAATCGTTGTTGGGAGGCTAGGGTTTCTTGGGGCGGGGCAAGGGTGAGGGCGGGGCAAGGGTGAGGGCGGGCCCTCTGTCGCAAGTATAGGTGAAACGTTAAAAAGCATGCTTAAGCCCTTGGTTTGAGGCAAGTATAGGTGAAACACATTGGTTTATATTTGTATGATGTCCAGGCAGCTCGGGGTGGAGCCGCGACACCAAAAAGCCTTGCAAACCACGAGTACTGGTTTCTTCTGTATCGATGAACCACTGATATGTTCAAGTCAAGCTAACCCGTCATTCAAAGGGTCATGCCGTCATGCCTTTTTGCCATCCACCAGCATGTGTGTTTCCTTTTTCAACAGCAAGGGGGGGCTGCAGGGCAGTGAGCCCAAGACATTGGCATATTATGCATAGTCTGATTTGGGGACCTTTCTTCGCTGCGCGAGCAGCGTTGCCGCTTTTTTGTGGAACCCGAGGATTTGCGTGGAACGGGAGTCACCCCGCCACTCGGTCGAAGCATGCCAAGAGGGCCAGATGCGATGTTCGTGAAATCATGGGCCGATGTCGAAGGGTGTGGCCCCGATTTCGGGGGGATCATGTTTCGAAGACCAAACAGGTAGTGCCACCATCCACGGGATTCTTGAGGAAGAGTCTGAAGGTGTTAGAATGCCCAAAATTGGATTGGTACGACATGTTTGGTTTATCCATACGGTGGCCGTCTGCACCAAGAATTGGTGTCGACGCAATGCTCAATATTATGTATTTATTGTTCAATGTGTGTTGCAATCGAAGACTGCCGATCCGGTCAACATTTAACCTGAAAGTCCCGTCCCTTGCCTGTTTCGTGCACTTAAGTACCTGTACCTTTCAAGGGGTGTCCTGATCCTCAAGATCCTGGGTCGTAGTGGGCCGGGCACCCCGCTGACCCCTTTCAAGCTGGTAGGTTCTTCACTGATGCGCGCTAGGCAGTGTTTTTCTAAGAGCCATGACAGTCAGGTGTGGACTTGCAGGAACTTTGCGGACTTGCAAGGACGTTCAGATCCGAGATTTTGCTAACGAGCCGGAGGAACTTTCGTTTTGACTCATGAACTACCTCACCTGGAAGTCATAGTCCACCAGGCCGGGGTAGTTCATGAGTCAAACGTGGACTCTTGGGTACCGGGAGGGTTCGGATCTGCAAAGTTTCGTGTCCTCAGTATAGCTGACGTCATTCCTTGCCTTTATTTGCATCTTTCTTGCAACAAACACTTGGACCAAAAACATATGTGCTTATGACTCACAGATTCTTTTCCTTCTACTTTTTTTACCAAGACTGGGTGAGGAATTCGCACATTTTTTAATGTGCCCGGCCTGTCAGGCTCTGTTGTAAATTAAGGAAACATCATTCCAATCTAAAACAAACTTCATTCCACTCCCAATCCCGCAGTCAGTCTCGCCGTCAATTCCGGCCTCAGCGTTTCCATTGCGCCCTTGTGGCTCTGCCGGTCTTGGATGCAAGGATGTGGATGAGAAGTTAGGTCATTGTCACCACAAGTGGTAGTAGCACAATGGAATGTTGCACTTCAAACGTGGTATATAGAATTTAGAGACCGCCCAGTGACTGATGACATTCGCTGGGCAGTCCTTTGCGGCCAAAATGTGCCTAAGGCGGGTGCTATCTGCTATCTTCACTCATTGCCTGCCAGGGCCATGAACTCAGCCAGTGTGGGTGTGATATCTTGGAGAAACTTGGAGACATGTTCAGGGGGTTGACATGGTCTGACTCTTTCTCTTCAAGGCCTTGAGGTCAGCTATAGTCTGGGCCCAGGATTGGCTGGGTGATTGCCCCCAGAGACCAGGCATTGAATCTTTGCAGTAAGCCAGGGTGGGGTAGTGTCCCTCTTGTGCAGAGCAACAGTGCGCTCAGTCGATTGGCGAAGCTTTCCGCTCTGCGGCTCTCAGGCTGAGGCATGAACTTGCCAGACAGCACCATCATTGAGGAGGCAAACAAGTTCTTGGCAAGGTTCCCACCCCCAACCAGGTGATCAATGAAGCTAGCTGAGCAGCTTTTTGAGGGTGATTCCAGTGTCAGCTGCATTGCCTGCCTACTTTTGTGCCAAGTAAGGCTGCTACTCACGCAGATCCTGCGGCTTCAGAAAGCCTTTGCCTCATGGATGTGTTTTTGCAACCATACATCTTCAATGATGTGGCAGCCGAAAGGCAAACCCCCCCGTAGTTTCCAGAGCAAGATGATCAGCTTGCCAGGAATCCAACCATCAGCTTCTTTTCCGGTATCGTGGATGAGTACAAGATCCAGGCAGTGTTTGATGTATCGCCTGGGCCAGGAGCCTTGATGGAAGCTGCTTTGTCTAGAGGCGCTGTTAATCACAGTGTGTGCCTCGACTGCGATCACCAACAATGGCTTCAAGGTGTCGCGGATCGAGCTGCATGTGCTGTGATCACACTGGAATTGTCAACTCTTTGGTCCGACAGATTGGCTTTTACGTCAAGAAGTTTTTCTCCAATGTCTTGGAATGCAGCAGAAGAAGAGGATCCATATGAGCCTGACAGCCTGGAAGGGCTACAGGCTTGCGGTTTCCTGCGGCTTTGCGGCTCTCATCATGGTTGGCAGGGCCAGCGGAGGGAAGAGTCGCTTGCGTTTAGCAGCCACTTGATGATTGTCTGCGGGCCAATTGTCAGATGAACCAGTTGTCAGACGAAGCCAGTGTTGGGAGAAAAGACCTTGCAGGCTTTTGTCATAAAGTGGAGTTTTTTCACATCAACAAAGGATTTTGCTGATGGCAGCCCTCATTGTACCAGGTGTTTTGAGCAAGCTGCTGGCTTTGTGCGCAATAGCATTGCGAAGGAGACTGGTTGCTGGATGTTTTGATTTGCTTTCATCTGATTCACAATTGCATGGGTCAGGCATACAGACCACATGTCCTACAGGACGCAACAGTTCCACGGCGATTGGACGGCGCCATTCATGCTATGAAAATAGGTCTCAGTACTGCCCGAAACCTTGTTTTTCTTCGGAGCTGCTGAATTTCCCACCCGGAAGAGATTAGGTATACATATGTGTATATAATATATATATATATATACGCACATATATATTTATTAAACAATCCTTTGTTATCCTGTTTTTGTTCACCCGGCTTCCGTTCCCTTCGCCGACGGCTTCCTCTCCACCCGGAGCTGCGCTCTCCGCTGCACCAAGGCATCGAGCTGCGCGCTGAGGAGCTGCTGCCGCCCTCGCTGAGGGCAAAGGTGCGGCGCTTGGAGATGGACATCGCCGAGCGCCTTGGCCGGTTGTGTGTTTTTTTGGGGCGCTTGGGGTTTGATTTGTTTCCGTTCCCGGGTGAATCCATGCCGTGTGATGTTTTTAGATGACGCTTGTTTTTTAGGTTCGCGGGTGCATCCATGATATTTGTTTGTTTTGTTCCCGTTTTTTATTTGGCAAATTTTGGTGTGGTGTGGGTGGTTTTTGTGTGCCATTGACATTGACAGTGAACGGGTGAATGCTGGGGAATTTGAATATGTTAATGTTCCCGGTTTCCTGACGTCAAATCCAAGGCTCGACGTGGCGACCTTAAAGGCTCTCGCGAAGCAGTGCCTTGGAGATGAAAGACTAAGCAGTGACCATGGAAGGGTCGTGAGGAGGTTTCGGTGGATTTTGGTTACCAGCGACCCTCAATGTTTCAAAATGCGTTCACAGACAAAAACCATGTTTCCCCAAACAGTTTGTTGGGGTTCTATCTTAGAAAAATAGAGCTGGCCACACTCACTGGCCGCGCCCTGTGGCTGGGCTGTATCCGGGCCTTGTCCTCCTTCTCTGGCCCAGCTCTGTGACTGTGTCCGGGCCTTGTCCTCCTCTTGTCCTTGTCTTGGCCGCGCCCCTGAACTCTGTGGCCCGGCTCTGTGGAACTCTCTGGCTGGGCTCTGTGGCCCGGCTCTGTGTCCGGGTCTTGTCCTTGTCTTGGCCGCGCCCGGCTCTCTGTCCGGGTCTTGTCCTTGTCTTGGCCGCGCCCCTGAACTCTGTGGCTGCGCTCTGTGGCCCGGCTCTGTGTCCGGGCGTGCAGTTCCCAAACAGCTGGAGGTTTTAGAACAGTTTACTTGCGTTCGTTTCCACCAACATGGAATTTTCGGAGTTGACGCCGACGCCGAAAAAATGTTGATGCTGTTTGGGGTCTATGTTGGTATAATTTTTGTTGGGAAAACCAAATTTTTGATGGTTTGTCGGCCCCTGGTAGTTGGGGGAATTTTTGTGGCTTCGAGTCTGCAAAGGAGCAGAATGGAGCGGCAGAGGTTTTCTTGGATAGGGGGGAATGGTGACTGGAAAGGCGTGTGGGGTCAGGATTCGATATTAGATACGCCCTGAATGGACTGGGCAGCCTTTTGCTTTGGCAAGGTCTTGGTTTTAGTCTTGAAAGACGAAACATCATGGCGACAAAAAATGGTGGGCGATGAAACAATCCTACTGGTTGGTGGCTTTAGATGCTCCTGGACCTTCGTCTGGTACATATATGTGCACACAATTGGGTTCTCTTGACGTTTGGGTACCCAACAATAGGGCGATGTGGTTTTAATTTTCTTTGTTGATCCCAATGATCATAACTTTTGGGCACAAAACCACCATTCAAAGACGAAGTTCCCGTATGTGGATTGTTGAGACAGAGTGCCCGCCAATATGTTTATATAGCCTATAAATACAAACTAGGAAGGACATGGACATGTTATACCTGGATCTTCAAACGGCCCAATGTTTTGCCCGATGCCTGTTTCAGTGAACAGACACCAAAAAACATGCCGTTTCAAGAGTTGCAAAGATGTGCTCAAACGTTTGGACCCCTAGGGACACGTTTGGACCCCTAGGGACACTTTTATTTTCTCACCTTGCTACCATAAAGGCACAGCCAGTTTCTGCCTTGTCACAGCAAGAGCCTCCGTTTTTTGGAAAAGATACCGTAAAGGCATGTTTGTCTTTCTCAAAAGGCAATTTTGTTGTGCTATTTCAACAGATCCAGTTACGGTTCGTTTCTTTAGTTTTCCTTTTCACAGGAGGTCTTTGAAGGTCCAGCGAAGACATGTGTGATCACAAGATATCACAAGTGTTTGTTTTTTTCAGATTTTTGAACTCTTCTTCCTGGCCAGTTCACACATGTTCGCACCTTGACAAGCATCAATCTGTAGAAAAAGAACATAAGATTTCCATTTACCCCGCATGAACATACATACGCCTAGCCAGGGGACTTCCTCGACCCCTTGCAGTGTTCTTACTTCTTGTCCATGTCAAAAACAACTTTAAAGGGCTGTTTAGGTCACATGCCCTCATTGTGTCAGTGGCACTGGCCACTCTATATGGTGACCTAGAACAACCACTTGAAAGTGCACATATACAATGTTGGGCCCTAGAACAATCATACTGCATATAGAGTGACCTAGACTCAAAATTTACGAGTATATAACAAGCAGCACATGTATAATATATGTAGTGTAATACATAACAAAGACGACTTGTTGTTCCACTTAGATTAGGCATACGTAACGGCCACTCCAAGGATGTCCCCACTTCCGGTGTACAGAATCAAGTCGCGACCAGAAAGCATATATGAATTCCTGTGCCCGCACAGTAAATGCACTTCATCCATGGTCCTTGCCACACACCATCTTCCAAACAGTGCCAACATGTTTGCCTCTCGGACTATTTTTTTCAACTATAGAATCTCACAGATTTCACAGATCTCGGGGCATCTCGGACCTGCCGCGTGCCGTCCGCGCGTGCCGTCCGCCTGCGCCGGTCCACCAGGTATGGCCTCCAGCGCTTCGTCCTCGTGGCGAAGCACCCCTGTGGCATCGGAGTGGATCGCTCCATCGACTGCGCGCTGCAGCTCGTCGACGCACCCGAGGACGTGGCGTCTTGGCGTTCGCACGAGGAGGAGTTGAGCCTTCATGCGTCGGGCCATGGGGTGGGCTGGGAACTGCAATATGGAATTTTGAATTAAGTACTGGTGCGACTCGTAGGGAATAAGGGAATGAGCCAACAATAGAGATTCTAGTGGATCCAGCCACCCTCATTCTTTGCTAAGCACCAGTCAGAGTAGGGGAAGGAGATCCGAAGAAAAAACACACACCTGGTCACCTGGTGTGCAAAAGCGGGGCATTGCAGAACGTTTCACTTCTGAATGGTAAGCTGTTGACTTATAAATGTGTGTGTTCTAGCCTTTTTTTGCTTACTTGGCTCTTTCTTCTCAGAACGTTGGAGCATCATATAAACGTAATTATCATGGCAATCTGGCGACAGTGTGTGCGTTCTTGCGTTCCTTGCCAACATCGCGCATCTTCTATCTGTGTTTTTTTTTCGTGTTGTGTAGGCGGGTGACTCAACTGGAGATCCTGTTGGATTATGGCCCTGCAGGATCCACCATCACCAAACATAGATCATCTGCAGCTCATTCTTCCTTTCGATGTTTTTTTGTGCATTTGGAGCTGCACGCCGGATCCGACCCATCCAGACTCCTTACGTTTGGTGTTCAACATGTTGTTCGTTTCAAGAGCCTCCATGCCATGCTGGGACTATTATATGGCCTCAGCCTCATTTGGTGATCTTTTGGGGCCTCCAAAGTTTATGATGCTTGGAGGGACCTGTCGGGCTGTGAAGTCGGCAGTCGACGGCTCTTTCAGGTGGGTGGAACATGCCCGTTTGGGCTCCAGTCGCACCGAGCCTGAGAAGGTGTTTGGGGTGGGTTGGAGGGTCCAAATACAGAGGAGGCATGACTGGAGCCCTATGGAGATGCCAAACATCCCACATCCAACACCTCTTCAGGATGGGCCGCCTCTCAGACCGGAAATGCCTGGAAACGGGACACGATTCGGACACGGACACGTCAGGATCTGATGGGCGTGGTGATCGCCACCTGCTGCAGTAACAAGCTGAGCCTGGATGATTTCCGAGAATCGCGCGTCCAGGAGTTCTGCGATCTCAACTCGAGGCCCTGCGCGTTCGACGTGTGGTGGCACACCACGCGCGTTTGACGTTGACCGTTCCCGACAGGGGGGGGGCGCGTGGAGGGCGCGTGGAGGTCGGGAGGTCGGGCCTCAGAGATGGTTTCGGCCAGAAGGTTTGGAGGCGAAAGAGGGTGAGAAGACTAGAAGACTGTCATAGGTATGTGACGGTATGTGGGTCTGTGGTGGCTGAGATTTAAGGCTCAATGGCCTGACGCTTGGCAGTTTGGGTGTGGCTGCTCCTGTGCCCGGACTTGCCTAAGTGGATATCTGACTAATTGGATTCGATCCACTGAAGACTTCTTTGCTGGTCTGCAGCTTCACTCACCTTCGTGCCTCTCAAAGGTGGAGGTTGAAAGCTTGACCGACCCTCATCCAGATCCTGAAAAACAATTGAACTCCTTGGGCAACAATATGTCTCACTATCAATATATGGACCATATGGCCATATATCAACCTACTGTATAGTTCTCCCAAACATCATGGAATTCTCCAATTGCTCCCCACAGTCGCAGCACATTCTGCAGTTCATCAATCAACTCACCCTTCCAGTCCTCGAACCACTGCTCTGGGGCTCCGTCGTGCGTCTCTTCGCGTGCGCGGTCACAGGCAGTTGGGCTCCGTAACACCGGACGCTTGGACGCCGCACGGCGTTTGGACTTCACGGTGGGTTTCACTCACGTCGAGGCCTATTGGATCTCTAGAATTCATGTAGCATACTGTAGCACTCGAAGGCACACCATGGCCTGATGATTCATTTTTTTGGTTTTGCAGTATTCTTAGTTTGGGGCATCGTATGTTTTTTTTAGCTGTCGGTTCGTGAACAGAAAGCCATCCACCACTCCCCATTACATGTACACAGTTATACTCCACAAATCACTGACAGGGTGGGACAATAAGAGTCACAGTCCCTAGGGCTCCAGTCGTACCTTCTGAGAAGGCAAACTGGAGGGTCCAGACATCCCTTCTGAGGAGGCACGACTGGAGCTATAGGGAGTATGAGTCACCGTCGCCCGGTGCAGTGCAGCCGGGTGCAGTGCGTGGGTCGGCTGTGTCGGGATCCGGGGTCACCTTGCCCATCACCCTGCTCATGCACACCTCTCCCTGGGTTTGCTTGAGGCGTTTTTGGAGTTGGCCTATAATCCCATACCTAGGAAGATGTTCTTTCCAGGTTCCTGGCATAGCACATCCAAGTGGCGCACCCGCCTCAGGACTTGGTGAAGGCCGTGGAGCTCATGAGCAAATGCACCGCCTGGCGCTCGGCCGCACAGAGCCTGGGGAACGCCATCAGCGACGAACAGATCACGTACGCTCAGATCTTCGAGGATCACCTGCAGCTTCGGCCGAGTCGCGTCGGGACGCGCAAAAAAACCGGGCCATGGTGGGGAGACCGCGCTGTTTGTTCGGCCACGTGTGTTGTAACAGTTCTTCGGAACTTGGGAGGTGAAGTGAAGCAGCTGGGTGGTGTAGCGACAAGACGAGGACCCTCGGGAGGACCGAAGTGCGGCGAAGTGAAGGGCCGTTCCGACGCCCCCCGCGAAGGAGACCGGACAAGAGAGCCGTCTATAGACAGCGACCGGGCCCCAAAATAAGGCCTGAGATCCAACTACACCCCCAGGTGGGTGGAGGTTGGAGGTGAAGCCAAAAGGAACTGAAGATGTTTGATGATGTTTGATGTGCCGATGGTTTGTGGTTGGCCCAGTTTCTCTGGCCGAAGAGAACGTCTGCGACGGACAGGTTGATGCGGAGCGTGGTGAGGTTCTTTTGATCGGTGCACACTGTCCCCGTTGACCACTGTTTTCGATATAGGAAAAGATCATCACCATGTGTTTGGCTCTGAAACAAGAGTTGTTTATAATGTACCCTGGATTCCAACCATACTGAAAAATACACATATAAATTAATATATATTAATTTTACAAGGGGCGTTTGACTACAAATTCAGGTCAACCATTCTTTTATATAAGGGTCTTTGAAGGCTAGGGTATTGACAATAATGTTAATCATAGCAACACTAATGAACAATATGTAGACATCATGTTTTTTTGGGCAAGGCCTTTACCAGCCATCGTCATTCATCATCAAACTGCTAGTGGTCATGGGAGATATCCAAGATGTAGTTGTACTCCATGGTAATGATTTTTAGAAAAGAACGTTTGGCATCTCTCCGATCCTGCGGCAGATGTGCTGGTCCGGTCATGTGCTTCAGGCAAGCCTTGCGAGTACAGAAGCTGGCGCAGGCTGGGCAAGCCGTGGTGGATGGATAATCATGGCAGTTAGTTGGCTGGATGTACGGATGTAGGACCCATTCGCTCAAGCTACGAGTCCTGGACAGGTTCTTTATGCAAAGGATTGCAAAAGGAGTTATAATGGGATTCACCAACGGTGTTCCTATTGTCCAAGGACTTTGTTGTAAGAATGTTCTTTCTACTTTGTTCTCAGCTTTTATGCGGACGTCCTGGCAATGACCGTATCTCCAAGAAGCACACTGAAACAGAGTCACACGTGTATCAAGAGAGCAATATCACACATACTCCAAACAATGCCACTGCCATGGGGGACCGGTGATGGCTGGCCTTTCTTGTGGGAAATGACCAGTTGAGAGCTTCCCGACATTTCCAGCCGTTGTGCTCTGTTGTGCTCGCTTGATGCAATGTCCAGCCGTTCGTCGCGACCTACGCCGGGACTCAGCGAACTCGCTGGCTTCTAGGTGTCCCGGTGGTCCCCGTTGAAGTTCAATCGACGAATTGGCACAAGTGTAATGCATAGACTCTTAATGGCTACCACCCCCCATTTGGATTGAAAGACCTCTTCATCTGGGGGGGTTGAAATCATCTGAGTCTCGATCCTCAAATCCTTTTCTTCGATCCTCTCGGATTCTATGATCTTCGCCGCTCAGCCGGGCTCTTTGTTTGCCATGCAGAGTGCTTCGTCATGTATGCTGGAGTTTTTGCAGTACTGGTCTCTAGTCGTTCAGAAGACTGTTTTCCTCCTCAAGATGGTTAAACCTCGATTCCTGGAATCAGTTTCATCGAATTGAAGATCGAATTTCATGGTCTTTTCTGTGCGCAGCGACCTCGTCCTATCTTCAAATCCGCCCGATGCAGCTCTCGCCCGACGAGCTTCGGCGGAGAGCTGCGGCGATTGGTCTGAAGTCTTCCGATGAAGATCGATTTGGTGGTTCCGAACCTGGGTCGAATGCTAACTGACCTACCCGTAAACCGGAAACCGCCGCGCCCTGTTCGTCCCCCAAAGCGGTAAACCGGTAAACCGGTGGCTCCAGCTGGAGGAAGGGGGGGATCCCATCCGGTTCCAGTGGCCAAAAAAACACGTTGGGGAGAAGACATGAGAAGACGAAGGATGCAGAGAAACACCGTCGAAAGAACGCACACCATGCAGTCCTTTTGAGATGTGCCACGGGTCGGTGATGTCCCATGTGCCCAAATAGCCGCACCGCGGCGGTTTGCCCCCCCCGCGGTCAGGCCTTCGGTGCGGCCAAGGAGGTCCGTTTCGCACCAAGGAGCTGTACCTTGCAGGTGGGACCATGGGACCCGGGTGAACGGTTCTGTACCGGACCGGGCTTGTTTTGATCGGCCATGATAGGCCATGATGGACCGAAAGCTTGAGCATTTGGAAAAGGGGCAAAGCATTTGGAAAAGGGTGAGTGCTTGTAGGTGACCTTTTTCAGTGGGGGAGAAAAGAGGAGACATGGTGGGTGGATGTTTTTTTTGGTTCTTTCAGGTTTGGTTGAAAGCTTAACAGATTTAGAGAGCAAAGGTTTGGCTTTCAACTTAGAGCAGGTATTCATATGGATAAGACCTGCAGCTGATACACTGGCCAGGGTGATCTCAATGACAGCAGAAGAATGCACTGCACCATGGATGAACACATTGAACCAACAAGAAAACCTTGCATCGACACTTGTGATGTGCATTCCCCAGCAAGCCAAAAACTAATCATGGGCCAGAAAACCGTGGATGGCATGGCTCCGAGTTCGGATGACCATGTTCATCCGTTTGGAATACCAAGCAGGTGGTGCCCTCCGAGCACCACCAAGCGTCGTGTCTTCAAACCGGTTCCACTTCACCCTCCAACCGGTCCGAAGCAGCGAGTCGAAGCACCGGCCTGCCGGAAGCGGAAGCGTGCTTTCCAGCGTGCGTGCTAGCTGTGTCGTAGACTGCCACAGGCGGTTCGAGGCATAGGGTGTCTTCAGGTGTTAGAAGGTATGGAAACGATTGGAAAAGTAGTGGCATTGATGGGATGAGTCAGCTTAGAGGACAGTGTGACTACTTTGGAAGTATCGACCCCGAAAAGGCAACTTGCAGCAACTTTTGAACAACGACTAGAACCTAACATGTGGACCGAGTCAGAGCAATCGACCTGGAAAAGGGGAGTTTAGATGATCCAAGCATATCCTAAAAACATATCACATGTCCAGTAAATATACCCCAGACTCCATGGGACTGGTCTATTTTCATTGGGGTGATTGATTTCAGGGGTCAGCAATCTTCCACCTGTGCAACATGTCCGCCCTTTGTGCTGGTTTTATCAATGAAGTTTGGCAGACATTCTGCGTGTCTGCCGAACTTCATCTATCAAAACCAGCCAAACTTCGGATCAGACAGCCCTTCCTGTTGGATCAAACCTCCGGGTTGGACGTCCCTCTGGAGCGTCCGGACGTCCCTCCGCGCTCCGATGCGTTCCTCGGTGCGGTAGATGAGCTCACAGGACCGCTGTTTGATCGGCTGTCCAGATCTGGACCTCCCTTCCGAAGGCGGGAGTTGTGGGGGGGGGGGGGGGGGGGGTGGCTGGGAGTGAGTGGGCGCGATGTTTGGGATATTTTTGGGGGTTCCCAACATTGAATGAGTCCAAAAGATCTAAACATCATCATGGGTGTGGGCCCATCATCCTCCCACTTTTGGAGCTATAGACCCCGAAACCATTCTTGTCCATTCTCTTCGGCAGCGTCAGGCGTGTTTTTTTCTTCGTGGCGAGCTCGCTCGAGGCTTCCTGGAACGCCTCCGCGAGGGAGTTCAGGACTTCCTGCGACTGAATGGCGGACCCATGGATTGCAGGAGACCCGGGGCCCCACGATGCCCCCATGGTGCCGATGGGATTGGGGGGCTTCAAGGGTTCTTCTAAAAATGTAGGTCAATGGGGTATGGTCCCCCCTATGGTCATGGGGTTGTGGATGTGTGGCAGCCATTCTTCGGTGAAAAAAACGTGTTACACGTTGTGATGGTTTCAGACTTATTTTTTATTAAAGGCCAGACGCGAGTCTCACGAGACTGGAAGATGCCATACTGTCATGACATGACCCTGTGCAACGGTGGTAGTATCATATGTAGTATCTCACATACCTTTTGGAGTGTGTTGGCATGATCTTGGTAAGCTGGTTTTGTAAAGCTGGCTAGGAACTTCTGGTGAGTCATGTAGAAGCTCTCATGAAGATGTGAAGTTTCTAGCTTATATGAATGAAGTTACAACACATTGTATATAGTCTGTTGTGCTTGGACTCTTCCAGCCTGTCTCCCAGCGTCAGGCCCAAGGGACTCAAGTCCAGCAAGTACGACTTCGACTACTCCGAAGACTGCTGAGCACAGATCCTCGCACCTGCGCACCCCTCCCATCCCAAGTGACCAGCACGGCACAGACGTGGTCACAACGCGCCTATGTGACCTGGGACCACGACACGACCTGGTCACCGCAGCTGGACTGGTGGGGTTTCTTCAGCGTCGAATCTGCTTTGAAGCGTCGAAGATGCCGATGTTGGGAGTCTGCATCCGGGCAGATCTCGTTGGCCCTTCGGAGGCGATTTACGGTTCGCGACACGAACCGTGGGCTCCTGGCGGGCACCTGGCCGCTCTCATGAACAGAACCAGTTCTGGGACCGCGCGAGTCTCGCGACTCGAAACGGAGCGGAGCGGACGAGAGGGCCGTGATGCCGCGGACGCACCAGTGCCGAACAGACCGAGAGAGGCAGCGACGCGGTTGGCAGGCAGGAGGTTGGCAGCGACGACAAAGGCGCGGAGACCGATCCCAAGAAGAACAGCTTTCTGATGCTCTTAGTGATCAGGAAAGAGGGGACTCCTACTGTGTGTATTGAGCACCATTTTTGGGGTGAGTGTTTGGAAGCCTCATCCAGGTGTTTGATTCACTTGCAGCGAAGGCGGATGCAAAAAGATCCCAATTTGTCATGTCTTTTTTCCGTGGCGCGGCGCGCTCCCACTGCGGGAGAGTTGGATTTGTCATGCTTTCCTTGACAGGATTGTACACAATGTATGTAAAGGTTGAAAGAGTCCTTGATTTAGACTCGACCCAATGACATCTTACTACAATTTACTAATTTGTATTTCTATACCTTTGCACCTGTGTTCTGCGTGCAAGCTTGATCACTCAAAGTCAGGTGGTGTCTCCATGTCGCTTTGTAGCTACTCCCCATACTCTGGGCGCTACCAAAGACATCGAGGAAGCCGCTTGAGGTGCACCCAAAGCTAGCAATGGCGTGTCATGGCGTTTCATGGAGTTGTCTCTGAAGTATTCTGAAGTATTGTCGATCAATATAGCAGCTTGGATCAAGGTGTCAAAGGCAACAGCGAGACATGTTCTTCCAAAAAGCACATGCTAACCTGCTAACCCTGAACCAGACCAGAAACCAGCGGGAAGAATATACACCCAATCCACACCATGCCAGCCGGTTCGCAGATGTCCAACGGATCCATTCTTTGTTGCATGCGCGGCTCGTGCCTGACGTGATGCAGCATCAAACATGCGCCAACATACGCCAACGTCTGTCCCAGGGACACTAGCAACAGTCGGTGAAGGATGATCACTATGTTTTTTGAGACGTCGGCCTGCACCATCATCATCCACTGGGTCATGGTAATGGCCTATACCCAGCGCCAGCGCCATTTTTTTACAATACTTATAACAAACAAGCAGCCACCCAAAACCCAAAGACCCGACCAAAGCAACGAAGCCAGCAGATCAAACCTGCCCAACCACCAAACCTCACCCACCCAACCAACCCATCAAGCCAAACTCAACCCATCCACCCATCCAAGTTCACCAAGCTCCCCACGCCTGCCACCGGCCTCTCCGGCCATGGGCCGCTCCAGCTCCGACAGCAGCTCCGTGCGCGGCCGGGGCCGCTCCCGGAGCCGGGCGTCGCTGAGCCGCGCGTCGCGGGGCGAGGCGCGCAGCCGCAGCCGCAGTGGAAGTGCCAGGCGCAGTGGATGATGCGACGGGCAGGGACTGGATGGGTGGGGGAACCAAAGGGAGGAGCAGGGCGGGTAGGAGGAGCTGTGGTTTTTTGTGGGTAGCAGATAGGCAAGGAGTTGAGTTGACAGGATGGAGAAGGTAGGTACCCTATAAGGGATGGTAAATCGACACCGCGTAGCCTCTTTTAAGGGGCCATTGTTATTAGGCACCCCTAAACGGGGCCCTGGTTGTAATTTTGTTTGATTCTCGGGTTACCCGGGTTTGTATGTCCTTGGATGGTTTCTATAGAGTCTTTCTTGCCTATAAGAGTCAGAGTCTTTTTTTAATTAGCCGAATCATAAAAGCCTATACTAAAAGGATCTAAAAGGGACAACATGGTCATGTTTGTAAACTTCAACTCATCCAGTCCAGGTCCACCCGATCCTCGGATCATTCTCTCCCAGAACGCCGGTTCCGCGGGTTCCGCGGGTTCCCGTTCTGGCGCTCCTTCCGAGGCCTCGCGCACGTCCCATTTGCTTCAAGGTGGAGCAGCGCTTCCGAGCTTTGAGGCCACTGGGCGGAGACGGGGGCGCGTGCGGTCGGGCCGTGAATTGGGCCCAAGACGATGCGTCGGACCGGGGTTTGGAGGGTATGGACCCCTGCGTCGGACCGGGGTTTTGTAGGGTCCGAGCCCTGCGTTTCTGAGGGGGTCTTCAGATTGTTGGATTTATATGTCAGCTGTGGATTTTTCAGGGTGGACAACGATCGGGAAGGGGGTTCAGCGAGAAGGTTTGATTCTTTGTCTTATGCTAGGACCAGTTAGATATATGCCTCAAGAATCCTGAAAAGACATGAACAAAACATACCAGGTAATACCAGTTATTGTTTTGTAGGGATGTCTGTGGTTCTTGTGATAGAAATGATCGAAGCCAGTCACGTTCGATGGGGTGAAGCACCCGTGCGTCACATCCACGGCCCCTGGGATGGGCTGATCCACACCACCCCAAACGTGACTCCTGGAGGCCTTATGAACCGAACGATTTGGGACGCCAAAAGCCCCTGAGCTGTGATTCGGGGTGTCCATGGGGCCCTCACAAGGTATGACTCCTGGTAGAAGGTTTTGTGTGTTTTGTTCATTCAACGCGCGGGCTTCTATCTATGCCTGTCGTTCATGGACATGATGAACCGAGGCTTGGCTGTCGGAAACGCACGTGACGTGCACGTTTGGCCTCCTCTTGATGTGTTGGGCCTTGAATGTACATGGCATCAGCAGTACTTGCACCCTTCAAGGACCTTTGTCCAAGAATGGTTTCATTAGTGTGTTCATTCTATTTCTCATGTGCTTGAACGCCCCAAACACCTCTCAGTTTACTTCACTCCAACTCGTGGGACATCGTGTATTTGGAGCAACCCCAGAACATGGAAACTGCTCACTGCTTTCGAGGTGTTTGCTGCAGGGATGCGTATACCACTTCCATCTGACCATCATGCGACGAAGTTTCTCACGTGTTTTCACAACAGCTCACATGATTTGAACACAGAACTTGATGGAGATCAACAAGAACATTTGACGTAATAGTATTATATATATATATATCTAGCACTTCCAATGGGTGCCCTGTCTGGAGACCTTTTTACGTAGGGTAGGGTAGTCTAGCCAGGACACCCAGACTGGATGACCCTGGTATATATACAAAAACCAAGAAAACCATCACTCACTAATTATGCTCCTGTCTCAGCTCTCTAAACACGACCGGGCAGCTCCGTGTTTTGGCGCGCGGCGCCAGGTTTCCGGAGATCCAGCGGACCCTGCGGGCTGCACGGGTGCTCGGTGGCGGTCGGTGTCGGACGTCAGACTGGGCCGTTTCAGGTTCAACATCGCCGGTCGTTAGCTTTGTGCGAGTCAAGGTCTACTGTAATCACTTAAAAGATCTAATGCACCGGACAATCATAACTGCTTCTTGCTCTTGTGAGCCTTATATCTATACGTGTGTGAGTTGATGTGTTTTTTTGTTTTTTCACCTGAAGGTGTGTTTTTCCATCCAATCCTCGCCCGAGCTGGGTGGTGCTTTGCCTCCTTCAGGGGCAATGCCATGCAATAGCTAAGATACCCTACAAGTCCAAGGTCCAAGTTAAACATGTTTAACCTGCTCCTTGACCTCATTAATCATTAAGTACTGGTTTTGCATGACCGGACCAAGTCAATTGAGGCGATTGACCTGTAGGGATACATCGTATGTCTTGTGTTCCTTGTTCATTTGGATATGCCTGGCAAGCAGTCCCCTCGCTTCCACTTCCCATTTCTGGGTAGACTGCTAGACTACATGGGATGACATCGAAATTCAGGGCAGAGATGGGCAGAGCATGTATGTTCATAAAGATTTGATCAGACGTCATGCAGTTTCTTTTTCTGCCACCGATGTGGAACCCGCAACAGCCAATGCCCAAACCCATTTACCCATGGAGCCCGTCGAGTTGGCTTCAAGCATTTGTTTTGGAAACAAAGTGTCACTTGAACATGAGCGAGTCTTTCCATCTGCCAGTAAGCTCCAGGCCTGTGCCATCGGTGAAATATTGGACGTCCGAAATGAACCGAAATGTGTGCAGACCCCGGTATGAGATCCTCCGCGCTTGGTCCTCTCAAATGCCGGTCACCATGACTCTAGAAAATGCCCAGCAAGTGATCCCAGTTGGCACAGCACGCAGCTTGGTATGTGGAGTCTTCAGTGCAGACGCCTCCCAGTCTCGTGCTTTTCTGACCGCGTCGCGGGCCTCGCGGGTCACCGCGTTGACCGCGAGGCCTTGCGGGCGCGCGCCGGTGGGCTTGGGCTCATCACTTACAGCAAGCAGGCGGAGCGATGTCGAGCGAGTCGGAGCATCGAAGCCTCACCGATGAAAGGGGGGGTTTAACATGGTTAACGGGCGCTTTCCACCAAGACCGAGACCAAGCACGGTGGTTTTGGGGATTAAGAGGCTAAACATTTGACACCTCTGTGTTCGGGTCCTGGTACGTGTTTCTTTTTTGGGGCAGGGCGTGACCGAAGGGCAAGGGCCTTCCCGGCGGCTCGGGATGGCTCGGGTCTTGGATCGGGGTGGAGGAAGGAGACGACGGCAGACCCGGTCTTTTCTGTGTTTGAATAAGGAGACACCCAACCAATGGGTGTTGGTATGTATACGTTTGGGTCTATTTATCTTTCTTCCAGGGGGTCGAACTGGGAGGTCGCCGCAGCTCTGCCGGTGTGATTTGTGTGGAAGGCCCAGCACTTGGTGCTCTCCAAGGGGTCGGATGTACGCGCTGGTGTCGTTGGGTCCTCTTTATTAAATTACAGGCCCATATGTCTGCTGTGTTCGTCCCTTAGCGAAACGAAAGACCCCTGGCATCCGGTCGGATGGGGGGCCTTCAGTGCTGAGCCTTGCACTTAGACGACTCGAAGTCGTTTTTGCTTCTGTGCTCTCAACCCACTCGATGTGCTAACTTGCAATGGGTTTCAGATTTGCTTCGGAAAGAGAGAACAACAACCACAACGAACACCAACAAAAGGTCATAAGTCGGCCTCCGACGGGACCAATGACACCGGTGGGTCCTGTATAGTACCTGGGTGTTCTTCACCGTTGGAACAGGTGAAGCCGACGTGGGGAGCGAGGGAGGCGACACGTTCGAAAGATTTGGGGTCACCCAATGCGATCAGTGGGACAGCCTTGCTGAGAAAAGGCCAGGGTGGTTGACTTCAGGTGTCAATGTAGGCATATGTGACATTGGTGCCAGTCCAATGGTTGGTCTGGGTGATATACAGTAGCTTCTCCCAGCCAATTGCTCTTGGTCTGCTTTCGCTCGGCTTTTCTCGGACAGATTGGCATTTGAGACCACCCATTTGATCACGTTGCAACCCCCTGTAGTCCACCACCATCCTCAACATGTGCGATGCCAGGGGTGAGCCGCCCATGACATGAAACTTCACTCAGAATCTTTCCAGAAATCTTGAAGGACGCAGATCAATGCATGATGAATGAGCCCATGGGTGTATGTAGTAAATGTACACCCCTGCAGATGTTCTACGGGTGAATTCTCAGGTTCCGTGTTAGTTTGCGGGGGGGGGTACACGGGGTACACTGGGACAAACATGGGTTCGTGTTTTACACCTCTTTGGTCTTCGGAAAAATCCCAGTCTTTCCAGGGGCCATGCACTCACGGCTTTTTGCCCTCCATGTAAGCATGATGGTTTCAGGATGTTTCAGGGATTGGGTGGTGGGTTTCAGAGACGGTTGTTTCAACCTTGGGATGAGGAAGAAACCACTCACTAATACTGCCAGTATCATTCAAACGAGTGGAAACCACCAACCAGTCAAACCTGCGCAGACCCCACTCCCTTCCAGCGCCTTCTTCTCGGCAGTGCAGGGCTGTCACTTAGATCCACCAGAGGGAGAGCCTTGGCCAGGGGTTCCCAGTGTCACACGCTTCCGCATCTATGCCAGGCCCCCCAAACAAGTCTAAAAATAGCCCCATAGAGGTTGAGCGGTGTCCATTAACCACCCCACTCAACTGTAGGCCGGAACCATGACCTACATGGAGCATGGGAGAATAGGACGACCTTTAAGAATACCCTTTTGTTGAAACCTGAAATTCCTGGAAGGGTCTGTTCTAGCCGATTCAAGCCCTTGGCCGATTCAAGCCGCCACCTCAAAAAATCAGAGGCTCTGCTAGGTAGTATAGCCTGCTTGTGTGCTTCTTGCAACGTGAACTTCTTGACAATGGTTGAAACATGTTAAAACCATGCGCCTGTGATCTGACTGTGTGACGATCCATGTCCCTCCATGTCCCATGTGTTTAACATTATATGGGTACTGGATGCTAGACTGGTCTATTTCCAGTCGTCTCCCCATTGTGAGCCACACACCCATTCGGGACCTCTCTTCTAAGCTGCTTTGGCAGGAGTTGTTTTGTAAGTTGACATGCGATTTTCCTGTAACTCAATGGATCTCTTGGCAGAAGGAAGATGTGTTTTTTACCGGCTTGCGAAGCAGCAAAGACAAAAGACAGGCATGTTTCATTTCTCATGACTCATCCCCTAATGAGACGCAGCGCAATCAAAGCAATCAAGCCCCCTTGGAATCAGCAAAGTCGCACCTGCTTGGGAAGTTGGCTTCTGACACCGCAAATTCTTGGTAAAAGGATAAAAAGGATCAAAACACCATTCAACGCCTGTTTTGGTGTGTCTAAAGCCATCCAAATGTAAGAACCTCTTCTTCTTCTTCTTCACGCGTGGGTCCCTTCGACCAAACGGCACGTCACTCGGGCGCCGTTCTTCGCCACCGGCGTGACGCCGTACACGCCGGGAACGCCGTACGCCACGGCGTACGAGTGAGGCCTGCTCCAGATCAAGAGGATCACTCCGACCGCCTGGTCCTCAAGTGTGACGGTGACGGTGACCGGTTTTTCTTCACGCGCTGCGCAAGGTCCTGAAGGCCGGCGCTGCGAGCCAGCTGTCGGCCTCAAAACACCACATGCAAGTCCTCAAACCCCGCTTGGGTGTATAGCTGGTAACCAGTGGGTTCCAAAGACTAAAACCATAGACCGAACGAATCCCTGTTCCTTATAAAGCGGTAACTGGGATGCACTGGGTTGGTTCTCTTTACTACCTATACGGTGGCAGACATATCAGTAGACACAGTCTTCCAGAGTTTTAACAACTCAGGGACACTGTTTTCTGGTTTGTTTTGCAGATGTTCCATCAAATTCATTCAGTCTCTGTCCCATCAATTGCTTGCTGTTGAAAGATGTTGGAAGAACTTTCCAGTACCTGAGATTCTCAAGTACGTACATCTACAGACGCCACGTTTGTACTGAAAAACCCACCGGATCCCAGGTGGGCGACCCTTTCAATTCATGTACCAAAAACTCAATGACATCTCCTGACTCAGCTTCTCCTGAAGCGTTTGGGAATGGCTGGCGAACCCGAACCCGCCGGCGTCGCCCCGAACCCGCCCGAAACCGCCCAGGCGGTCAGGATGAGGTGGGGAGTCCTGGGAGACCGGCCTCGGTGACCTAACGTGACACCGGTGGCTTCGGTGCCACGGTCCTGACGTGTGGGGGGGTGACTCGAACGAACGAGCAGGGGGGACGCAAGGGGACGTTGGCGGATATTGCTTTGTGCGATGTTGAACATCTCATCCCGAGTGAATGAATCGGTTGACCCCTAGGACCCTAGGGCTCCAACCATATCCTCAGGTGGTTAGAGGTACATCTGCCATAGATAGGTGTCTAATCTATTTGCACCACCTTCGGAAGCGAATTGCAGCATAGACGGCCCAAAGAGAAGAGCAGACGGTCCACAAAACCCGACACGGCTGCTGGGACTGGGCAATATATGCGATTGACTATCCCGTATTATGCATCCAACAACCATGGATTTCATGTTTATTTTTTTCCGAGTATATTATAACCATTGTTTTGTTGAGGAATTTACACTACAACAACAGGTCAACCATTCTATTAAAGGTCTTGGAAGGCGACAGGTTATTATTGACCCTAAGATCAAGCACCTCATGTTGATGGATATGTGACAGTCCCAATGGAGTGACCTGGGCAGGCAGTGGAGAAAAAAACAACACATGTCGATTCAAGATCCCTTAAAGTCATGCTTAAGTTTGCTTTGTTGAAATCAAGCGCTCGGATGCCTCTCATATCCCAGAGTCCAAGTTGTTCTTTTCAGAGGACATCCCCCATCAATGGCAGTACATGTCTTGAATGAAAACAACGGCTACTTGGTGCATCAGGTCGAGCTCGTTTTCTGAAAGTTGCTTCCAGCACGCTGAAATCCACTGGACAACTCCGATTGAGACTGGTTCAGGTATCGAGGAATGTCTGTCTGTTTGTCAGCCATTTCTGCGAGGTATATCCCTAGGGCTCCAGTCGTCCCTCCTCAGAAGGTATGACTGGACCCTCAAAAGCCAACCCAGTCCCACCTTCTCAGAAGGTACTTGGAGGCCTAGGGTATATTTAACAAACTTTAATGCCCTGTGGATCCCAGCGCAGCCACATTAGAAGGAACAAATGTTTCGAAAGGTCTACGCATGATCCTTCGAACTGGAACCACTGGTGACCTACGATTAGTGGTTTGCCCGGGATCCACCGGTAGACACCTCTCCAAAACGTCGTTTCACTAGGGCTTCCCAGATTTTCATGCATGCCATGCGCTATCTAGCTATCTCTTCATTCTGCAGTATAAGAAAATGTCACCATCCACATGTGCTTGTTTACATAGTGGTGGGACCTAATTATCCACCATCTAGACACTTCATGACTTCATGTATTTACTGTAAGTTCTTTTGCCTGACCCCTGAAATCAACCACTCCTGGCCTTTTCTCAGCAAATATGGCAGGCCCAGTGGCAGGCCCTCATAGTCCCACGTCGTGTTTGGGAATGGTCATTAAAAGGCAACGCCCTACATTAAGTCAATGAGCCCATTTTACTGGAGTTGTCCATACAAAAATCGCTACTTACGGAGGTAACATACCAGTTTTTACTGGGTCAAACTGGACGTACGTAGGGAGAGAATCCTTGCACCTAAGGCGCCCAAAGCTGATGCGCCCGAAGCAGGCGGGGTATGAAGTCGTCGATCCCGAACTTGGTGGTCTTAGCCACAACGTTCCATGTGCCGGTCCTTCAGTCGGCCAGAGTCGCGGACATTAAAAAAAAAGAAGCCAATGGGTGATGAGGTGAACGATGGTAAATTCATGTGAACTTATCATGTGCAGATTTGATGCAGATATGAAAGGGCACACCCTTCCATATGGTCGGTGCTCGTTGGTGAGTATGGGGGGCTGATGACTGAGGGCCAGCTGCATCAAACACCCTCAAGAAAGGAACATATCCATGTTGGTCGTCCTGGTTTTGCTTAAGGTGATGTTTTCACTTTCCCTATGGTTAGATCCCCTTCTGGTGAATCTGTTGATATATGTTTTTTTTAATTGGTCCAGGTTTCTTAAGCAAATCCAAGTCATGCCCCGTGACAGTTTCAATTCAGGCTTGAGACAGTTGTTGTGATAGTTGTTGCAAGAGCTTTGTGGTTGTTTTTATTATGGTTGTTCACTTCTTCTCCTCTACCTACTGTGTGTGAAAGAACAAAGGTTCGGCCGCAAAAGTGGCAAGAAAGTAAGTCTGTGTATGAAACGAGGCCCGCAAAAGGTTGAATTCACAAGAAAGCAGCGTGACATAGAAGATTCGAACACCACCATCAAGCAGGTTTTCGACGCTCAGTTGACCCTGTCGAGTAGGAGAAGGCTTGCCTCCAACGAACCAAGGTGTCATGGTGCAAAGGGACCCGAGAGTATAGAGGTGCCATTTTATGGAGTTGCCCTTGAATATCAGGTGAATCAAGATGAACCCGTTTTTTGTGGGTTTCGGGATGCCTGCTGTATAAACATGTATAAATTGAGGTGGACAATGGTGGACAAAGGGTACAAGCCTTTGATCCAGTTGTACCCTCGACACCATGGTGAAGTTATCAAGCTTTGCCGCAGACATTGGCTCCAGAAGATTTTCGATAGATGCTAGGTGTTTGTTTGCTTGATCCATCTACTATAGTCACTGTACAAACCAGTACAACACCTACATCATCCCCGATTGCAATTGGGTGGTCTATGTTTTGTTTATTCAACGGCTACAAGCGGCTACAACAATTTCAGAATGTCACTATCCATTGATCGGCCTTGAATTAGTCAAACTCCGGGAGGCAAAGTAAACCGCCATTAGTCCAAGTCTGTTTGATGTATTTCTTCCAATCTGTTGAATGGCATTCCAGCTGCGTCTCATGTTTGTGCTAACCCACCAGAAAAATGCTTAGGGCTTAGGTTTCTCCACTTGTGACATGGACACTGCATGAAGATCAGAACATGGAGGGGTGGGGGGTGGGGTGGGGCCAACAAGAATAGAGCTGCTCTCGGTACATTTGCAGTTGAGACTCGACCCCAACGTCGAGACTCGACCTTTTGGTTTCTCTAAGGCCATGGGTGGCCTCAGTTTTGTGGGCGTGCTGAGTTTATCGTACGTGTTGTAGTTGCAAGTTGGCAAGCTTGCGGACATTGGAGAACTTCCGGCCAGTCTTAAGAACTTTGTTGTTGCTGCTGCTGCTGCCGCCTATTTTTTGCTTTTTGGGCACGTGTCAACCTTGAAATGCATTCGCTCCAGGTAATCTACAAAGCCTTAAAAAAAAAAAAACACACACACATAACACATACAGAACACAACATATATACATGTACTCGAAGCCTGCAGAAGGATCGCACCGAAAAGGGGACCCCATGCTTGACCAGAACATGCTGTATACGGATGGCACGAAAGAACCGAACCACAGCCCGACTGGTCACTCTGCCAGCCCTGGCCCTATAGGGGTGAGACCCCAGGGGCGGAACGGGTCATGTCTGGGTACCTCCCAAGACTTCCGTTCAAGCATGAAAAAGATGGGAACGACCTGGTATTGTAGTGTAAAATCCTTTAGTTGATTCGGTATTAAGGCTATTACATGAATGGTGGGCCAGGAAGTCTACTGAGAATTCCACGAATTCGGAGGGAAACACCCGAAAGCTGTGTGAGGGGCATCCACCGTTCCGGGCTGCGTTCGGCCATTTGGGCTGGAACCCGGTCTGGCAACGTTCACGCGTCAGGGTTTTCTGGCAACTCCAAACCCTCGATAAAGGTCTGTATCCCTACAGCTCCTGGCCCACCTCCTGAGGTTCGGTGGTTGGGGTGGGTGCCAGGGGGGTCGAATACCACCGAACCTGAGGATATGGTTGAAAACAGGCAGTCGTAGTCGTAGGTACACCCCCCTCCCACCAGTCCCGAAAGGAAGAGAGCTCGACTTGAGCCCGACTAGTTGGGACCATGCAACTGGGGTATTTTATGGGTGTCCTGTCTGGAGATCTCTAAGTACTACAGTAGCAGGGCAGGGTCATTAGTCTGGACACCCTGGCAGGATGGTCACGGTCTGGTTGCCTCCAACGATTGAGAGACCAAACCTCCACGGTTAGCGAGGTTTGGCTGGCTTTGGGGCGGAACGACATCGGGTGATATAAGGTTATAATATGGTGATACTTAGGGTCTGTCCTATTACCTGTAACCGTCAGTAAACAATTATTGCTATTTTTGGAGAAGGCCTTTACTAACCACCATCATCATCATCCACTGTTACAGGTAATTATTAGGATAGACCCAAGGTGATACTACATCTTTTCCGAAGTCAGTGAATCCACTAGCATGGGGATTTACTTAAAGTATTCCTGGTTCCTTAAGCAAATCCACTGGCATTGAGTCCCAGCATGTGAGTTTGCTGCCTGAATCTGGTGCAAATGGCATTCACATTCACCGCCGGCAATTTTCATACGGTGCTTCTTCGAAGTGATGGCGCTGCTGTCACTTGTGGAATGAATTCTGTTGGGCAATGCAAAATTCCACCTTTGAAGGAAGGGATGTCATACAACCAGGTTGCTGCAGGCTGTTTTCATACTGTGCTTCTTCGAAGCGATGGAGATGTTGTGGCTTGTGGATCGAACAGTGATGGCCAATGTGATATTCCACCTTTGGAGGAAGGAATCTCTTACACCCAGGTTTCTGCAGGTGGTTCTCATACAGTGCTTCTTCGAAGCGATGGAAATGCGGTGGCTTGTGGATCGAACAGTGATGGACAATGTGACATTCCAGCTTTGGAGAAAGGAAT